TGTACACTGATCACACGGAATACGCGGATGTATACAATGTACAGCTTCTCCGGCGCTGTACCGCAAGGTGCGTATACAGTCGTTGGAAGCCGCGTCATGCCGATGCGGGGAAACTATTGTAAACTTTCCACACAGGCCCACGTGAGGCGCAGGGGTTTGGATTTCTTCACAGAGCGCCTCACGGTGGCCAGGGCAGGAAATGCTACAGTAACACGATAGGAAAAAGTTACTCCATTTTCTTTGGGGGACTTGTTCAGGTTACATTGTATCCCATCACACATTGCTTGTTCAGGTTACATTGTATCCCATCACACATTGCTTGTTCCGGTTACATTGTATCCCATCACACATTGCTTGTTCCGGTTACATTGTATCCCATCACACATTGCTTGTACAGGTTACATTGTATCCCATCACGCATTGCTTGCTCAGGTTACATTGTATCCCATCACACACAGCTTGTACAGGTTACATTGTATCCCATCACGCATTGCTTGCTCAGGTTACATTGTCCCATCCCATCACACACAGCTTGTTCAGGTTACATTGTATCCCATCACCACACCGCTTGTTCAGGTTACATTGTATCCCATCACACACAGCTTGTTCAGGTTACATTGTAACCCATCACACACAGCTTGTTCAGGTAACATTGTATCCCATCACACACAGCTTGTACAGGTTACATTGTATCCCATCATACATCGCTTGTTCAGGTTACATTGTATCCCATCACACACAGCTTGTTCAGGTTACATTGTATCCCATCATACATCGCTTGTTCAGGTTACATTGTATCCCATCACACATTGCTTGCTCAGGTTACATTGTATCCCATCACGCATTGCTTGCTCAGGTTACATTGTATCCCATCACACATAAAAACCCCCATATGTGGGATCAGATACCCGGGAAATCGCAGGGTGCGTGTAATCCTAGCAATGGTCGGGAATCAGGTGTAATACACATCAATGGAAGATTTCCCGTCCAATCGTTTTCGGCTCCAATTAGCGGCGGTGGCGGCGGGGCTCCGCAGGGACTCGCAGCAAAGTGGCCTCAGAAGACGGCAGCGTTGGCGTGCAGCCAGATCTGAAGAGGTGTGCGGCTGTAATCTGCGCGGCTGGCGGACTCGTCCAGTTCATACTGGTGACAGATGGTGACACACAGCGTGACCCTCTCCAGAGGACACAGAGAGGGGGGGGGGGGCAGACAGAGGTGTGCGCCGGTATCGGCAATACTCCACTTCCAACAATGGCTTCATTCATGACAACCGCTGTGTACCAAAGAAGTGTTTATGTTTCCCATGGCAACCGGATTACAACTGTCATTTTTCTTAAAGGGGCAATCCGTAGGATAAAAAAATTGAGAAGAGTAATAGGAAAGATTTTCCTTGATGGGGTTTGTAAGGATGTTTTATTTCATTGTGATCACCGCCAACCCTGCCGAGGGTGATACTTTTCAGACAATGCGTGTCACGGTCCCACCTCCTGGCAATGCCCACCCTGACCTTTCACCCTCCTGTAAGCCCAGTGAAAGCCCCTCCCCTGCCCACCCTGACCTCTCACCCCTCTGTAAGCTCAGCAGAAGCCACTCCCCTGCCCACCCTGACCTCCCACCCTCCTGTAAGCCCAGCAGCAGTGACTCCCCTCCTCACCCTGACCTCTCACCCTCCTGTAAGCTCAGTGAAAGCCCCTCCTCTGACCTCTCACCCTCCTGTAAGCTCAGTAGAGCCACTGCCCTGCCTACCCTGACCTCTCACCCTCCTGTAGGCTCAGTGAAAGCCCCCCCCTGCCTACCCTGACCTCTCACCCTCCTGTAAGCTCAGTAGAAGCCCCTCCCCTGCCCTCCCTGACCTCTCATCCTCCTGTGAGCTCAGTGAAAGCCCCTCCCCTGCCCACCCTGACTTCTCACCCTCTTGTAGGCTTAGTGAAAGCCCCTCCCCTGCCCACCCTGACCTCTCATCCTCCTGTTAGCTCAGTGAAAGCCCTTCCCCTGGCCACCCAGACCTCTTACCCTCCTGTAAGCCCAGCAGAAGCCACATCTCCCTGAAAGCCCCTCCCCTGCCACCCTGACCTCTTCACCTCTAATTCTCCTGTAAGCGCAGTGAAAGCCCTCCCCTGCCTACCCTGACCTCTCACCCTCCTGTAAGTCCAATAAAGTCCCTTCCCTGCCCGCTCTGACCTTTCACCCTCCTGTGAGCCCCTCAAAGCCCCACCCCTGTGAACCTTGATCTCTCACCTTCATGCAAGCCCATTTAAACCCCTCCCCCTCCCACCCACAAAGAGCAAACACTCCTACCAGAACTGAGCACTTCTTTCTGATACATGTCCAAATTCCGCCTGACCCCTTTACCTGCTACTGCAGCACCGGGCCCCGAAGAATGAAGCAATATGACGCCATCAGAGGTGAAGCCAGGACACCTGTGCCGATGTCCCCTCCTCTCTGACACCCTTGAAGGTGCCTCGGCTGGCAGTCTGCTCAGTTGTGCAAGAGGCAGGTATTATTCCGCCATTGAAAGGCATGACGTCATCAGACCGCCCCAGGCTGTAAAGTGTCTGATTTGTCTCATTTCAAATGTACTTAAGACCTATAACTGGCGCTGGAAGCATGCCAAAATGGCTCACAACTGGGAGATCACTTTAGCATTCCCCGAGTGCACCCAACACACGGAGACCCAACAAACAGTCAAATACAACCAATGAAATGGCTTCCTTGTCAACCCAGTTCCTGCTACCTAGACAAATGCTGCGCCTGGGCCCACCCCGCCTGGTGTCACGAGTGGCCGCACACGGGAGTTAATCATTCACAAGAACTAGCTGGAGCAGCATAAAACATTCAAATAACTTCCTATTCCTAATTATTGCAGACAGGTTTGTTTTATGGTCCAATGGAGGTGATACTCCGGGGAAATAAATACCATCTAGATGCCTTCATCGTGTATTCTCCTCGGTAGGCTTCGGGCGTTTCTTCCAGATCTGTGCAGCAATCTGGGGTGAGACTTCCTGGAATAAAGACTGCTCCTGCTGGGCTCTTCTTGTGGTCTTGTCTCCGCCCCCCTCCTGTAATTTTCAGCAGGCAGCCAGTAGTGGGTGGAGCTTGCAGGGCCCCTGCCACAGTTCTGCACTCTCTCCTTGTGCAGGGTGACTGGTCTGGTCTCCGCCTTCTCCTGGGCTCTTTTTAGTGGGTGGAGCCTGCTGCCCCCTACCACAGTTCCGCTTTCTCTCCTTGTGCAGGGTGACTGGTCTTGTCTCCACCCCCTCCTGGGCTCCTTTAGTGGGTGGAGCTTGCTGCCCCCTCCCACAGTTCTGCACTCTCTCCTTGTGCAGGGTGACTGGTCTCGTCTCCACCCCCTCCTGGGCTCTTTTAGTGGGTGGAGCTTGCTGCCCCCTCCCACAGTTCTGCACTCTCTCCTTGTGCAGGGTGACTGGTCTCGTCTCCACCCCCTCCTGGGCTCTTTTTAGTGGGTGGAGCTTGCTGCCCCCTCCCACAGTTCTGCACTCTCTCCTTGTGCAGGGTGACTGGTCTCGTCTCCACCCCCTCCTGGGCTCTTTTAGTGGTGGAGCTTGCTGCCCCCTCCCACAGTTCTGCACTCTCTCCTTGTGCAGGGTGACTGGTCTCGTCTACGCCCCCTTCTGGGCTCTTTTAGTGGGTGGAGCCTGCTGCCCCCTCCCACTGTTCCACTCTCTCTCCTTGTGCAAGGTGACTGGTCTTGTCTCCGCCCCCTCCTGGGCTTTTGTAGTGGGTGGAGCCTGCTGGCCCCCTCCCAGTTCCGCTCTCTCCTTGTGCAGGGTGACTTGTCTGGTCTCTGCCTTCTCCTGGGCTCTTGTAGTGGGTGGAGCCTGCTGCCCCCTCCCACTGTTCCACTCTCTCTCCTTGTGCAAGGTGACTTGTCTGGTCTCTGCCCCCTCCTGGGCTTTTGTAGTGGGTGGAGCCTACTGGCCCCCTCTCACAGTTCCGCTCTCTCTCCTTGTGCAGGGTGACTAGCCTTGTCTCCGCCTTCTCCTGGGCTCTTGTAGTGGGTGGAGCTTGCTGGGCCCCTCCCAGTTCCGCTCTCTCTCCTCCTTGTGCAGGGTGACTGGTCTGGTTTCCGCCTCCTCCTGGGCTTTTGTAGTGGGTGGAGCTTGCTGGGACCCTCCCACAGTTGCGCTCTCTCTCCTGGTGTAGGGTGACTGGCCTTGTCTCCGCCTCCTCCTGGGCTCTTGTAGTGGGTGGAGCCTGCTGCCCCCTCCCACAATTCTGCTCTCTGCACAGGCTATGTACAGCCCAGTGATGATGTCACTTCTACATTTACAAGGTAATATCTGTGTTTGTAAAGGCATTTGTTGGATTTATATCTTAATTATTGAGAAATATATTTTTTTCCTTCCAGTTTTAGGTGCTCAGTTTTTGCTGGTTGGTGTGAGCGTCAGATGACCCGCCATCAGGTGAGTACCAGCGGGTACAGGCCGATAAGCCTTTAGACAAACAGCGAAGGCGCAGGCAGGCAGAAAAAGTGCGGCGTCAGCTCCGGGGTGACGGCCTGTGTCTAATAAGAAGAGGCAGAGCGTGTACACAGCGTGCAAATCGCGTCCCGTCATTAACGCCAAACTTTATTCACGCTTCAGCAGCTCCAAGAGGTCGGCGGGAGGAGAGGGGAGGGGACGGCGCAGCCACAAAAAAAATAAATGGCGAGAATCCAGATTCGGGTAGTTTTAGGTCTCTTAGTTATCCATTATGGTGGCCATTGGCGAGCAATGCGTCTGCGATACCCAACAAAGCAGAAAGTCTGAGATGTCTACCTGAAGTTCTTATTGGAGGAGACAGAAAACTTTGGGGGTTTCATATGTGACCTCTGACCTTCCCTTCAGTCTTGCACAGGTGTACCGGCTCCTCCCCTTCAGTCTTGCACAGGTGTACCGGCTCCTCCCCTTCAGTCTTGCACAGGTGTCCCGGCTCCTCCCCTCCAGTCTTTTATAGATGTCCAGGCTCCTCCCCTTCAGTCTTGCACAGGTGTCCCGGCTCCTCCCCTTCAGTCTTGCACAGGTGTCCCGGCTCCTCCCCTTCAGTCTTGCACAGGTGTCCCGGCTCCTCCCCTTCAGTCTTGCACAGGTGTCCCAGCTCCTCCCCTCCAGTCTTGCACAGGTGTCCCAGCTCCTCCCTTTCAGCCTTGCACAGGTGTACTGGCTCCTCCCCTTCAGTCTTGCACAGGTGTCCCGGCTCCTCCCCTCCAGTCTTGCACAGGTGTCCCAGCTCCTCCCTTTCAGCCTTGCACAGGTGTACCGGCTCCTCCCCTTCAGTCTTGCACAGGTGTACTGGCTCCTCCCCTTCAGTCTTGCACAGGTGTACAGGCTCCTCCCCTTCAGTCTTGCACAGGCGTCCCGGCTCCTCCCCTTCAGTCTTGCACAGGTGTCCCGGCTCCTCCCCTCCAGTCTTGCACAGGTGTCCCAGCTCCTCCCTTTCAGCCTTGCACAGGTGTACCGGCTCCTCCCCTTCAGTCTTGCACAGGTGTACTGGCTCCTCCCCTTCAGTCTTGCACAGGTGTACAGGCTCCTCCCCTTCAGTCTTGCACAGGCGTCCCCGGCTCCTCCCCTTCAGTCTTGCACAGGTGTCCCAGCTCCTCCCCTCCAGTCTTGCACAGGTGTCCCGGCTCCTCCCCTGGAATGAAACGTCTTCCTCTGATGTCACTGCACACTGGTGAGCCTTTCACAATGTGCATTAGAAGCTGCAGCCAATCAGGTAGAGCTCCGCCTCATTTCCTGGCTGAAGGACTTCCAGCATCATCTATCTCTTTCCTCCCCAGTCTGACTGTCCCTGGCCCCGCCCCTTTCATTGGGGCCCAGTGTCACATGTGGGCGTTACCTATGTAAATGCAGCCTGCCTAGGAAAGCCCACTCCTCCAGACTGACACCCACCCATGAAGGCATTTTGATATTTGCATAACTCCTCCTACTGCTTGCATCAGGACTGAGGGCCACTGAAAATAAGAACTGAGGCAGGGTGCTGTGATGTTTTCAGCACTCTGCTCACCTCCACCAGTAATGACCTGCCTGCATTGCATAGAGAAGCACAGAGACCAAGTAATGACATCATAGGAACGACAAACCCCAAAATGGAAAGCTGCACCCAACTGAGAAAACAGATTTCCTTTCATTTCCTAAACCAGAGGCACAACAGTTAAATGAGAGGAAAAATCTTAACGCAAGTGAAAATCCCCTTATAAGACAGGTGTCCCCATTGTGAGGTTTCCCCTCACTTCCTGTTCTCGTGACAACCAAAACAGTTTTGGGTTACCCATCGCTTTCTGTCCTGGTGACACCAGAGCAAAGAGGATGAAGAGGGGACACAGTATTATGATATAATGTAAAAGAATAATAAATATAAATATATATATTTATTAAATATACATTTTAAATTAAATTCTATAATTTAAAATGATAAATAATAATCTAAAACTATAAAATTGAATAAAAAGCCCACACAGGCTTCAATGGTCATCACCCAATTTGGTTGGGTGTGTATCGCGGGCGGTTTGCTGAATGGGCGTGGCCAGGGGCGGGCTGACAACTCATGGGGCCCCCGGGCAATAGGGGATCATGGGGCCCCTGTGTCCTCGCCCAAACTCAAAAAAGCCTATGAAAAAGGTACCAGGGGCATCTCATGGGGCCCCCTACTGACCCCGGGCCCTCAGGCAGTGCCCGAGTTTCCAAATGGTCAGTCCTCCCCTGGGCGTGGCAATGTCACGTGAAGCCGGGATTGTACGGACGGATTGTAACGTGCGTGGTCTGCTCTCGGTTGGATGAGATTAAATTGCTGACTCGAGATCCAATAGGCTGCTCTGCGGAAACAAAATGGCGTAAGGTGTGGGGGGGAGGGGGGTGTGGCTCCGCCTTGATATCAGCTGTCCTTTCCCAGGTTGGTGAACGTCTTGGCAGGCGCGGTGGGGGGCAGGGAGGGCGCCCGGGCCGCGTGCTTCCCCCTCGTCTGCTCACACGGTACACAATGACATCATCTCATTAGATCTAATTATAGAAAGAAGGAAGAAAAATAATAATTCCTCCACCCACGGCCAAAACAGCAGAGCGAGGCAGAGCAAAAATAATCGCATGTTCTCCCACGGCGGAGCTCCGGAGAGGGTGACACGTGGGCATGCACTCTACATCCCATTAAAGGGGAACCCCTCACGGCCCCATGGTGGCCACCAGCTGTGTGACGTCCTACAGCCCATGGTCCAGATAACAAATTAACTTTTGTAAAGTCCTCGGGAACACGTCAAGGGATCCAGGTCCAGGGCACGGAGGGCGGTCTTCCCTTGTCCAAGGTCTCTCCTAGGACACTTGGGCTGGCACCCTAAATTCTTTTTAAAGGGGAACCCTTCTCAGATATATCGTGGTCACCAGCTGTGTGACGTCCTACAAAGTCGTAGAATTGTTTCCAGATAAGAAATTAACTTTTGTAAAGTCCTCGGGAACACGTCAGGGATTCAGAGGGTCCTTCCCTTGGGGCAGGTCTCTCCTAGGAGGGTGGTCTTCCCTGGGAGTCCAAGGTCTCTCCTAGAACACCTGGGCTGGCACTCTAAATTCTTTTTAAAGGGGAACCCTTCTCAGATATATCGTGGTCACCAGCTGTGTGTGACGTCCTACAAAGTCGTAGAATGGTTTCCAGATAAGAAATTAACTTTTTTAAAGTCCTCGGGAACATGTCAAGGGATCCAGGGCATAGAGGGCGGTCCTCCCTTATCCAAGGTCTCTCCTAGGACACCTGGGCTGGCACTCTGAATTCTTTTAAAGGGGAACCCTGGAACCCTTCTCAGATATATCGTGGTCACCAGCTGTGTGACGTCCTACAAAGTTGTAGAATGGTTTCCAGAAAAGAAATGAACTCTTTAAAGTCCTCGGGAACACGTCAAGGGATCCAGGTCCAGGGCACGGAGGGCGGTCTTCCCTTGTCCAAGGTCTCTCCTAGGACACCTGGGCTGGCACTCTGAATTCTTTTAAAGGGGAACCCTTCCCAGATATATTGTGGCCACCAGCTGTGTGATGTCCTACAAAGCATACAACAGTTTCCAGATAAGATATTTACTTTTAGAAAGTCCCTTAGAACTTGTAAAGAGATCCGCAGTAGGCGTTCTTCCCTTGGGCGTCCCAGGTATTTTCTGGTACACGTGGGCTTGCACTCTAAAACTCTTTAAGGGGGAACCCCCAACAGCCCCACTGTGGTCACCACCTATGTGAAATCCTACAAAGTATACAATTGTTTCCAGATAAGAAATCGACTTTTATAAAAGTCAGGAACATGTGACAAGATCCCTGTCTGGGGTGCAGTTGGAGGTCTTCCCTAGGGTGTCTTAAAGGGGAACCCCTTTCAGATCTATCATGGTCACCAGCTGTGTGACATCCTACAAAGTCGTAAGAACGGTTTCCAAGAAATGTACTTTTATAAAGTCCCCTAGATCACGTGAAGAGATCCCAGTCCAGTACACAGTGGGTGGTCTTCCCTTGGACATCCCGGGTCCTTCCTGGGACAAGTGGCCTTGTACTCTAAATCCCTTTAAAGGGGGAACCCCTCTCAGCTCCATTGTGGCCACCAGCTGTGTGACGTCCTACAAAGCATATGATGGCCTGCAGATAAGAAATTTAGAAACATATAAAGCGATCCAAGTTCAGGACACAGAGGGGGATCTTTCCTTGGGCATCCCAGGTCTTTCCTGGGACAAGTGGGCTTGCACTCTAAATCCCTGTAAAGGGAAACCCCTCCAAGACCCATCATGCCCAGCAGTTGTGTGGATCCTACAAAGCATATCATAGTTTCCAGATATAAGAAATTTTATTTTAATAAAAGTCGGAAACATAAGTGACCCAAGTTCAGGACGCAGTCTTCCCTTGGCCATCCCAGGTCTTTCCTGGAACATGTGGGCCTTTAAGGGGGAACCCTCTCAGACCCATCATAGCCACCTGCTGTGTGGATCCTACAAAGAATATCATGGGTTCCAAATGAGAAATTTACTTTAATAAAGTCCCCAGGAAGACAAAAAGAGATCCCAGTCCTGAGCATGGTGGGCGGTTCCCTTGGGTGTCCCTGGTCTTTTCTGAACAGGTGGGCTTCCACTCTAAGTCCATTTAAAAGGGAACCCCTCTAAGTCCTACCATGTCCGCCAGCTGTGTGATGTCCTACAAAGCATATGATGGTCTACAGATAAGAAATTTACTTTTATAAACTCCCTGAGAACACGTGGAATGATCCAATTCCAGGGCACAAAGGGTGGTCTTCCCTTAGGCATCCTAGGTCTTTTATGGAACATGTGGGCTTGCACTCTAAATGCATTTAAAGGAGATCCCCTCACAGCCTCATTGTGGCCAATGGCTGGGTGACCTCCTCCAAAGTATACAAAAGTTTCCAGATTCCAAATTTACTCTTATAAAGTCCCTGAAAAAACATAAAGAGATCCCAATCCAGGGCATGGTGGGCGGACTTCCCTTGGGCATCTCATGTATTTTGTGGAACATGTGGGCTTGCACTCTAAAAATCTTTAAAGGGGAACCCCTAACAGCCCCCCTGATGTGTATTGTCCTACAAAGCTACAATGGTTTTCCAGATTAGGTACTGATTTTTAATAAAGTTGGGAACACGTGAAGGGATCCAAGTCCAGGACGCGGTGGGCGGTCTTCTCTTGGGAGTCCCGGTTCTTTCCTGGACGATGTGAAGTGATCCCAGTCCAGGGTGCGGCAGGTGTTCTTCCCTTGGGAGTCCCGGTTCTTTCCTGGACGATGTGAAGTGATCCCAGTCCAGGGTGCGGCAGGTGTTCTTCCCTTGGGAGTCCCGGTTCTTTCCTGGAACATGTGAAGCGATCCCAGTCCAGGGCGCGGTAGGTGGTCTTCCCTTGGGAGTTCCGGGGTCTTTCCTGGAACATGTGAAGCGATCCCAGTCCAGGGTGCGGTAGGTGTTCTTCCCTTGGGAGTCCCGGTTATTTCCTGAAACATGTGAAGTGATCCCAGTCCAGGGTGCGGTAGGTGGTCTTCCCTTGGGAGTCCCGGTTCTTTCCTGGAACATGTGAAGTGATCCCAGTCCAGGGCGCGGTAGGTGGTCTTCCCTTGGGAGTCCCGGTTCTTTCCCGGAACATGTGGAGCGATCCCAGTCCAGGGCGCGGTAGGTGGTCTTCCCTTGGGAGTCCCGGTTCTTTCCTGGAACATGTGAAGTGATCCCAGTCCAGGGCGCGGTAGGTGGTCTTCCCTTGGGGAGTCCCGGTTCTTTCCTGGAACATGTGAAGTGATCCCAGTCCAGGGCGCGGTAGGTGGTCTTCTCTTGGGAGTCCTGGTTCTTTCCTGGAACATGTGAAGCGATCCCAGTCCAGGGCGCGGTAGGTGGTCTTCCCTTGGGAGTCTCAGGTATTTCATGGAACATGTGAAGCGATCCCAGTCCAGTCTTCCCTTGGGAGTCCCGGTTCTTTCCTAGAACATGTGAAGCGATCCCAGTCCAGGGCGCGGTAGGTGGTCTTCCCTTGGGAGTCCTGGTTCTTTCCTGGAACATGTGAAGCGATCCCAGTCCAGGGCGCGGTAGGTGGTCTTCCCTTGGGAGT